TTCGAGAAGGCGGGTGTGAACGTGTCCGTCGTGTTCGGGCTCCTGTCCGAGGAGGCAGCGCGGCAGATGAGAAGCAGGGGGAAGTCTCTGAAGGCCAAAGACGGTAAGGTGTCCGGCCGGGAGGTGGGGTCGGGGGCCGGGACGCGTTCAGCCGCGTATTCCCGTGCGGGTACTTGGACAGCAGAGCCTGGCCTTTGAGCAGAATGTGAGGAAGGCCGGACTGATCAACGCTCAAGGGAAGATTTCATTTGTATCGTGGTGGTTTCCAACCAGTGAGCCTGGCAGGTGGACTTTCATATCCCTGAAAAACTAGGTGTCAGAGTGCTTCTCCCTCTGTCTTGCTGCTTTAAGCAATGTACTGTAGGCACAGGTTGTTTCTCAGTAACGACGCTGTAGCTCAACAGCGAAACTGGGCAGGAGTTACGTACCAAAGAGCTGGAGGGAGAGAACCAAAAAGATGTGAAGGCTAAAGAGGATTCAACCCACATTCATGCAGCAAAGGGTAATTCTGAGGACTGGGGGTGGTGGAAAGCCTTAGCAGTGCCTTATGTTCTAAGCGATCTTCGTCTAATGGGTGCTTTAACATATTGTTGCATTTTAGGACAAATACCATAAAGTTATGTTAACCATTTAGTTAGGTGCACAGAGGTGCACAGAGGTGTGTGGATGAGAAGTAAATTGCACATTAATTAATAATGGTGACCCAACTTGAGAAATTTTCTTGTAGTGGAACAGCAGCTTGGAACCTAAGGAAAAATAGTGATGTTCCTTAAATGATAATAAATGAAGTTATTTGAAAAACTGAAGGTTTTTTTCTGTGCATCTTTTTAACTAGGGAAACTGCCTTTTTGCGCCATGGGTGTGAGCTCTGTTATCCATCCAAAGAACCCTCATGTTCCAACCATGCACTTCAACTACAGATACTTTGAAATTGAAGAAGCAGATGGTAAGAATTTTAATCCAATGAAGTACGTCCGAAATGTATGACTCTACACGAAGGAAGCATGAACGCATGGCTAGGGTAAGAGGTTAAGAACCAGTCCAGGTTTGTTCCCAGCTGTGCCAAGAGCCTGTTTTGTAGCACTGGATCTCTTAACCTCTGGGCCTTCATTTGTCCATTTGTAAAATCAGTGTGATGCGTGCATCTGGTACAGTAAAGGTGTTTGCAGTTTACTTCTTGCAGCGTACACCAGGCGTTTCAGGCTTAAAGTGTAGGAGGTTATAAATAAGTGTAAAACATATTCAAAGAAGCAAGTCTAGAATTTAGTAGAAGAAAAGTCCGTGAAGGACTGGTAAGCATTCTGGTCAGGATGTACCTTTCTCTCAGAAGCTGGGAGGACGCACTGTCAGCAGCATCGCTTTCTACGTGCGCTATGCCTTTTTCCCCTGAGTTTCTGCAACTTGCCACTGTCTGAAGCAGGACTCTAGGCTAGGTGGTCTAACACTGAGAACCTGTCTGTACCTTGTGACAGTGTACGTACTCTCAAAGAGAGTTTTCTTTCAATTATTTTGCCAGAGCGTTATGGATCATTTCCAGACAATTGCTTCCCTGGATTTAATAAGGACGTTTCCTTTCTTTGGCGTGCAGTAAAATGTTTCTGGATTCTTGAATAGGAGTTGCCAGCCCATCTTGTGAAATTGATATCCTGTAGTCAGGGTCAGAAGTCCAAAATAATGAACAAATGGTTTTCACTGCTTTGAAATTTGTTTCATGTTTTCCTGAACTCACTGGTCATCGCGCTACCTCGAAGTCAAATTTTTCACGATTGATGTTTAGGAACACCACTAAATAATGATTTTGTTTTGTATTGTAAAAGTAGTTGTTAGTTCTTGGTGAACGACTAGCAACGTATTTCTGTTTGGAAGTTTAAAAGAAAAATGTTGCTGCTTGCCTCTCTCCTATAGGAACTAAACAGTGGTGGTTTGGTGGTGGGACTGACCTCACTCCAACTTACCTGAATGAAGAGGATGCCGTTCATTTTCACAAGACTCTGAAAGAAGCCTGTGACAAGCATGATCTGAAGCTGTATCCCAAGTACAAGAAATGGTACGTAGGGAGAGATGCGCTTGGGTTCCTTTTGTGGGAGCAGAAGGCAGCACTGGATACTGCCAGTTCTGCTGCCTTTTGAAAAGTATCAGCAGACCCTAATGAGAATCAGCAAATGTGCACTGGGACAAAATGTAGTCTAAACCAATCTCTTGTTTAGAGAGGCCTGAGTTTTTCAAAACAGAAGGCTGACAACTAGGATCATAAGTCTAGAGCCCAAATAAAAACCACGCTGACTCTGCAAGGTTTTGTAAGCCTCAGACTGCACTAGGCAACTTAAAAATTCCTTTTAGCCTCTGGTGTTAAACTAGGACAAGACTTTTGCCCCATGGACTTGCATTAATTCTGCTTACAGTGAACTCATGGTAAATGTGCATGACTTCAGTGTGAGCTCTTGGATGAGTGCTGCAGTTCTGAAAATCCCATTCCAGTTTTTCTGCCTTAAGTCTGACCTTCATTACCCTTTTTTTTTTTTTTTTTTTTTTTTTGCCAAGTAGGTGAAGGAGCTTGTCCTTAATGTAGAAGCTTCATAGTTTTGATGGAGCTGTACTTTTTTCCCAGTGACACATTCACTGAGAGTTCAACAGCATATTCTCTATATATGAACTTTGAATGTTCTTCTTGAGCTGAGAGATACAGATGATGGGATCCTTCACTGTTCAGTGGAGGCTTGCTGCTCTGTGTCTGATAATCCTATCTGCTCCAAGCTGTGGTATCCAGGAAGGAGGGGTTACCTTTTTGTAAGCTACCAAGTCTTGTCTGAGGACAGGAGATAAAGTGAGTGTTGTAGCTTGGGTGTGAACCACGAAATAGAGAAGCACATCTTAAATCTTCAAGACTACAGTCTTGTTCTCTGAGGAATTTTTGCATGGTAGTTCAGAGTAGTAGTCTGCCTTAATGGTCAGGTTGTTTGCAGTGTAAGTAGGCTAGTAATGCCAGCTGCAGGGGGTCGGAGACAAGGACGCCTGTTCTTAGTCTGAGGGCAGCTCAGGCGAGGACTAACAGTATCCCATGGACAAAGGCAGTTTTCTCAGTCCCAGCGTGAGTGTTTGCTGTAAGCAGCAGCTGCGTAGGGGCATGCGGTTCTCGCTGGTGGAGCAGTGTGAATCTCTGAGCTTCTACTAATTAGCATTGCCCCTTTTCCCACCTTTCTCAAATATAAAAGCTCTTGTTATCTTTACCACACTGTCTTCCTGATCTAGCTTTGAGACTTTTGTCAGGCTTGTTCTCTTTTGCATTTCTGACTCATCTTTTTTTCCAAATTCTTCCTGCTACTATAAAAAAAAGCTGATCATCCCAGTGAATAAAAAAATAGCATAGGTTATCTGTTACATCTCCACGTCTTTCTCACTATGACCATGCCATTTATATTGCTTGAGAATAGCAACTGTGGATGGATGCATGCATGGAGAACTAGTCCTAAAGGAAGGCAGGGTTTCCTTGCTGTTGATGGTTTCTGCCTCCTACTTCCCTTCCATTTCTCCCCCACATGAAGACTTGCAGAGCATGGCTGCCCAAGCAAGCAACTATAGAATCATAGAATCATATCATAGAATGGTTTGGGTTGGAAAGGACCTTAAAGATCCTTTAATTCCGCCCCCCCTGCCATGGGCAGAGACACCTTCCACTAGACCAGGTTGCTCAAAGCCCCACCCAACCTGGCCTTGAACGCTTCCAGGGATGGGGCATCCACAACTTCTCTGGGCAATCTGTGCCAGTGTCTCACCACCCTCATTGTAAAAAATTTCTTCCTTATATCTAGATAACACTCTTGATGAGTGTGACCCAGATCATGCTCTTGATGAAGGTCATGACAGCAGAGATTCCCAATGTACTG